GACTTTTTTTTTGGGTGGTATCAGGGATCAAACTCAGGACCTTGCACCTGCCAGGCAAGCACTTAATCCACTGAGCTATCTCCCTGGCCCCAGAATAATGACTCTTGAGCTGCACTCAAACAATAAAGATGCAGCCACGCAATGGAACAGAGCCACAAAGGGTGTGGAGTTGGGCATCTGCCTGTCAAGCCCAGTGGCAGGAAAAGCAGGGCCTGCCAAGTCGGAAATGGGAAGGGATTTGGCATGGTGAACCTCAGGGTGGGGAGGAAAAGCTAAGCTGGAGCGGGAGGGGTAAGGGCACTGTACAATGCAGAACACTCCTAAAAATAGAAGTAAAAAATGGTTTTTGATTTGGGAGATCACAGGATTAATTTTGTGTGAGAAGTCTCTCCAAGATGACAGACAGGCCAAGTAAGACACGACAAAGACCTGAGATCAGAGGAGAGACAGAAAGCCTGACGTGAAGGGGCTAGAGGAAAGATAGCAGGTGGGGGGCAGGAAGCTGGGCAGAGGTTTCTCTGAGATGTCTGGCATGGGTGACTGGGTAGATGGATGATAACAGGGACCACAGCTAGTGTTAAACCCTAATGGCTAACAGCAATCAACTGCTTGATGACATCAACTTAAATTTATTAATACGTTATGTGGGTTCATAACCTTTCATGATGACATGCAGCCTTTGCTCAAAGCATATGGCCTTGAATCCAATAGAACCACCTCTGGACAAAATACCTAGTGAATTACCAGTGAAAGCACAGTTCGTACTAACCTTGAAAACTTATTTAAAAAATTAAACCTAAGAAAGAACATTAAAGATTTCCTTGTTTGACTCTAATTTCAGAAATGAAATCATCTGAGACTAGTGGGAACATGACCTTTGTCCAAACTTACAAATCTGAGTATTTGCAAAGTTAGATCCAGAACCCAGGGCATCCCACACTTGCTTCAAGGAACTTTATTACTGAAATAAGAAGGAAAACCAGATGCTAACTGAGACTTCTGAGAAATTTTCTAAATGCCAGAAAATCTAGGGATTAGCTTTGAATTTATAAAGAGCCAGCCTGGTGGTGCATAGCTGTAATCCCAGCACGCTAGGAGGCTAAGACAGGAGAGCACACATCTGAGGCTAGCCTGAGCAATTGAACAAATGAATGAGACCTTGTCTCAGAATAAAAAGGGTTGGGGATGCAGCTCAGTGAGAAAACCCAGAGTTCAATACCCAGTACTTCAAAAAACAAAACAAAAATGTTAAAGACTGCTTAGGCAGAGCACAGGGACAGTGCGCAAACATCAATCATTATATAAAGATGATCTCTAAAATAATTATTCCGGTATACAGTATCAAAATGGATAGCAAAGGAAGTATTTTTGGTATATCATTCATGCACTATTAGTTTGAGTTGTGTGTAGTAATGAAATTAAGGAATTCATTTTAACCAAGTGATTTAGCATATTGATAGTAATTTAAATGAAAACTTGGAAATAGCTAAGAAACATAATCAAATGCATAATGGAGAGTTATCATATATTATGCAAAAGTATAGATTAAAGCTTTATAACTCACTACTATGGCTGTGAAAAAAAATTGCAGGGGCGGGGCCGGGGAGACAGCTCAGTAGTCCAAGTGTCTGCCTGGCAAGTGGAAAGAGCCGGGCACGTTCAATCCCCAGTACGCATGCCCTGCCGGCCCCATGGGAACTGGGCGTGGTAGCACAGGCCTGTAATCCCAGTGCTGGGGAGGCTCACACAGGAGGATCACTACGAGTCTAAGCTGCATAGTGAGACCCTGTACCAAATAAATGAATGAAAAGATTTTTTAAAGAAGAGAGTGAGAGAAAGAAAATTGAGAGGAAGAGTGAGGTGGATCTCACTTCCTTCAAACCAAACAGGAGCATAACTACTCAATAATGTTACACCAAAAGAATATCCACCAAGAAACATGGCCAATATCATTAACCATGGCAAAGGGCAAACTAAAGGCACATCTATTTTTAAAATTTTTATTTATTCATTATTTATTTATTTATTTATTTGGTACAGGGCCTCAGAGCTCGGACTCCTAGTGATCGTCCTGTCGGCCTCCCCAGTGCTGCCATCACAGGCGTGTGCCACCATGCCTGGTTTCAGTAGCTGGCTCAGCATGGGGCTAGCACAGCATGTGGTACCAGGGACTGCACCAGGTCCCGGTGCTGGGCAGGCAGGCGCTTAGACCACTGAGCTATCTTTCCAGCCCCACACTCTTAACAAAGGGATGCTTCAATTCTTTGTATAGACTAGAAAGTCTATTAAGGATACTACAGAAGCCAGTCTGCGTCAGAGATTTTAAATTACTCTGATGAAAAACAAAAGGACAGAAGTGTGGGGATGTTTTCTAACACTGAAAGAACTGCATTCCTGCACTTAGCAGAGAAAAGGCAAGAAGCACTCTGATGAATCAAAACAGTATTGTAGAAACTGCTTTTTGTGTTGTCAGCAGATATACCTAAACCCTCTGCTGTTCCTGGAAAGAAACCTTGCTATTTCTCCCGTTAGTTAGTTGGTCAAGGCATTTACAATAGAATTAGCTAATCACGAAAGTTGTCTCACCAAACCCAACCCATATATTTCTATTGAAATACAGATCATGACTAGGGAGGCTGAGGCAGGAGGATTTGAGAGTTAAAGGCTGGGCTGGGCTAGCAGGGAACTCAAGACCTGCATGAGCAAACTGTCTCAAAAATAAACAAAGTAAGTAATTAAAAAAATACAGATCACAGGATTTTCATCCTGGACCTTCTTGACAGCTTTATTATTATTATTCTTAGGTGTTTTTTTTTTTTTTTTGGAACCGGGGACCAAACTCAGGCCCTTGTGCTTGCCAGGGAAGCGCTTATTCTACTGAGCCATCTCCCTGGCCCTATTATCATTATTGTTATTATTATTGTTGTTATTATCATCATTTTATTTTTTTACCTTCCTTGACATTAAGGAGAATAATGCCCGGAAAAATCACTTAGCCAAAGATACAAATTCTAAGGCAATTAAAACTGCTTTTGTGCTATGCATGTGGTTAAACTAGTCCTTAGACGGGTGTCCCCGAGATGTCGATTCAGTCAGTTCCAAAACCCCTGTCTAGTATAGTTACCATGGCCTGCCTCTGCTCTGCATGCCTCTGGCTCAGTGCATTTAAGCTTTCAAAGATGGAAAGAAAATAAAGGGCAGATATTGCTGTTTTTTTTTTTTTATATAAGAAAGCAACCCAGCATTATATGACATTGTAAAAGATTTAATGGATTCTCCTGTCTAACCCCTTCATAATCTTACATTATTACTGAAAGAAATGTTTCCTTCTCATCATCGTTTATCCTGGCAACTGCTGCGTACCAGGTGATACTAAATTTAACACAAAAACAGAGATAATGAGGTATATAGTCAAAGAGCTTTGAAGTAGGAGTCAGGAGATCGTGTTCCCAAGGATATTTTCAATAAGAAAATACAAAATTATAATTATAAAACACACAAAAAAGTATTATCAATTACTTTTATAAAAAACAACTAATACACTGGAAAATTCTTTCCAAATTAGTTCTATCCTTTTTTTTTTCTTTTTAAATAACTTTAATGAAGAGGTTCAGGCTTACCTAAGAATATCAAAGTTATGTAATTACTAAATAACTACAAAACTTACCTGTGGACGGTTAATAATTGGTTATTATATAAATGTTCCCTCACTGTTACCCTACCTACTGATTTGGTATTTTTACACAAAGTGCAGTGTGTGGAATGACATTATCAAAGTGATCTGTTAAATAAGTACAACAACCAAGCTGGTACTCTACAGTTTCTTCAATTTCACTTTAATCTTAAACATGCAATTTTCACTATTGTTTTTTGCTGTAATCTGAATACCTACATCTTCCCAATATTCACATGTTGAAACCCTAGTCCCCAAGGAGACTGTGTGGGAGGGTCTCTGGGGGAGGTGACAGATCATGGATGCAGAGTCCTCATGAACAGCACCTATGGTCTCATTAAAAGAGACCACAAAGACCTAGCCCATCTCATCTGTCACATGAGGACAGAGTGAGAAGGTGCCATCTGCACGGACAGGCCTTTGTCAGGTCCTGATTGCTGGCACTTTGGATGTCTTGACCCCTAGAAGGATGAGAAATCAATTTTGTTGTTTGCATCCCCTGTTTATAGTAGTGTGTTGTAGCAGCCCAAACGGACTAACACACCTGGATGGAGGACACTATATCAATCAGAACTTGGACAGACTTGGAGAAAATAAGGGCCCACAGTCATATCTGGAGAAGTGTCACTCGTCACACACTGGCAATCCTGGAGTGCTGGTCAGCACCCGGAAAAGGCCCAGCATTGATTCTTGCAGCCGTGGAAGGTTTGGCAGAGAAGGGACACCAGCTAAAAGCAGGTACTGGTAATACAAACTTGCACTGTGTCCATGAGACACAAGTGAAAGGATTGTGGAGGAGAGGAACAACGCACAGGGCCTTTGTGATCACCTCCTCCCTGTATTTCGCTGACCTGTCAGGTCTTCTGTGCAGCCTACCACTGAGGGCCACAGAAGGGCCTAATGTCCTGAATCTGCACTGAGTTTTGTGGGTCTGAGTGCACATAGCTCAGGGGAGAACAGAAAATGTGAAAGGGCACAGTGGCCCAAGAGGGTAATCCACATATCATGGAGGAGGCAGTTATTCTCAGATAAGTAACATACCCAAGGCTTGGTACCCTGAGTAAGAGTTCACTAGTATTTCCCTTTTAGCCTTCTCTTGTGTTTTTGCCTTTTTATTTTATTTTTTAACCAAAGAAATTGTAGAAGTTGGTAGAAATGCTGAAGGGAGCATTTAGGTTCTTCCTGAATGCTCCAGCCCTCACCACCGCTCACACCCTGGAAGCCCCCACCTCCAATGGCTCCTTCAGCAAAGCTTTAAGGATTGCAGTCTATAAAAATATCAGCCGCAGAGAAAACATGTAGATCAAGTACTCAGGGCAGTCCTTACCTCCAGGGAGTCACCTTCACAGTCTCCTTCCTCCACACCTCTCCCCTTCTCTTCGGTAATGGTGTTCACCATCTCAAAAAACCTACAATAAGAGTTGGCATCTATAACACATATAATAAACACATGTGCTCAACAAACCCATCCTTGGTGGAAAGCACAACAGAAAACGCCCTTCATGGACATCACCTGCCCAACATCCCAGCTCAGCTTAATCCACCTTTAGTGCGTTCAGTGCACTTCTACTCCTTGATGGCTGCTGTATCTGTGTTTGTTTTAGGCAAATAAATCTCAAACAAAGCTATTTTATAACACTAGGGAGTATTTTATATAGTTTATTGAACACTCGTGTCCCCAGAATACTGGCAAAATAATCCAATGCCGATTACTGCTGGTTCACCCTCGTGGTTTGGTGGCGGGCTGCAAGGGCTGCTTACCATTCCTGCCAAGCGTTGGCAGAATATGATGTTGGGTACCACTGGTCTGGGGAAGGGGCAGTCTTGGGAGCGAGTTTCTCTACTGAATGCATATTCTTTCTTGGTAGGATTTTCTAAACGTTTCCAATCTAATGCCTCACTTAAAACAATTATAATGTAATAAATTATAGAATAATAAGGCTGAACAGGGTCATAGAAATATCCAGAATGTGGACATTGATGTCAGACCAAGATTACTGGGATCTATGTGACCTCAGAGTATCTATATGTGATTGTAGGCAAAGCCCACCACTTCTCTGTGCCCTTAATTATAAAGAAAGCATTTGTGTGTATCTCACAGAGCATTGTGAAAATGATTTAGGCTAATATTTGCAAAGGGCTTAGCACTTGTAAATATTAGCTAGAGCTATTTTGCTGGGTCTATTATTACTTAAAAACATAAAAATACCTGCATTCTTAATATTCCAGAATATCTACTGTCTCTAAATTTGGAGGCTGCTATTTGGCCAATGCAATATTTGATCTCAGTTACTAAGTCCCCTTCCCGAGTATTTTCAGTATTATACATGAAGGGTCCCCTAAATATAGTCAGTGAAATACTGATGCGAGCGAGGAGGGGCTGGCTTACATAAACATTAGTGACAGAGCCCCATCTCTCTGGACAACAAACATTTTGTGGTACCATGGATAGAACTCAGGACCTTGCACTTGCTAGGCAGGTGGTTATGTCGCTGAGCTATCTCCCCTGGCCCCTTCTTCAGGGACTCCTATTCCCCAACCTCTTCTTCAGGAACTCTTACAAAGTTTTATTTCTGGAGACCATTTTGGAGCCAAGCAATAGAACTACAGCAAGAGATTTTCTCCCTGGAGCCTAGTCCTCGAGACAGGACACCTACAATTTACATACAGAAAGAAAGGGAAGTATTGCAAACAAGGGCTGTGGATCCACAGGGCAGATCACACTGCAAGGGTAGCCCAACGGCATGACAAGCTTGTGTGACAAGTTTACACTCGTACTTTTGTACCTCATATCCATCCATCCATCCATCATCCAACAAATACTCATTGAGCATCTACTAGTGTTGTAAGCAGCTAAATTAGACAGAAATATTATAGGAAGTCAGACAGGGCCAGGCCCTCAAGGAGACAATATGGAAGACAAGGTGACCTTGCAACTTTGGAAGCCACAGATGCTCTCCCTGTGGGCCAGACCTCAAGACAAAGGAGTAAACAAAGGCAGCCACAGACTTCCCTAAGGACCAGCATCAGGGATTGATATTCTAAATAGGTATCAGAAAGAGCCTGAAAGAGTCACTAAGTCAACCCCCAACAGGAAGAGACCCTGTCTCATACTCAAGCCTGCTTGCTACTTGACTCACTTTCTCATTTGGTCTGGGTTTAATCAATTTTACCTGAGAAATGGTGCTTCTAATCTCATTGGTTGACCATAGTTTTGTCCCACCTCATGCCCACCTAAGCGAGTTTCCATGTTCTCCACCTTGCACCAGCCTCATTACATGGTTTTACTCTATAAAAATCCCTGTAAGAGACAGCTTCCTGAGGCAACCCACTGGAGGGTGAGGGAGAGTTTCTGCCTCTCACTCAGACAGGAGTGGAGCTTTCTTGCTCCCAATTAAATCTATTCTGCTCTTACCCTCCATTGTTCCTAAAATTCATTCTTTTGTTTTACAGAACATGAACTCGACTCAGACATCTTCCAGGTTGGGAGTTTCACTCCTCTGTACAATTAGGATGAAGAACTGACCTAGCATGGGGAACAAGACAGTGAGCAGGGTCTACTTTAAAGTGTAGGGCCTATTTATGGAGCTCACATGTAGTGCCTGCTTCCTGCTCTTCCTTTCCTTCCACACAGTCAACAACAACAACAACAAAAAATCCAGGTTTGATTGGGATAACAGAATGTTCTAAATAAGATTAAATACTTTGATGACTTAATACAAAAGAAAATTCAACCAAGGGGAAGAAAAAAAACCTTTCAAAAATCTATCTTAGCTTTAAGGTCTAAGATAAAAACAGACAGCAGCCATTAACCCAAAAATTTTCAGTAGAAGCATCTCTAGGTAGAATATAATTCAGTGGGACACGAGCTCAGGGTAAATTTCGGAACGTGAATTATAGTCACAGGTTCCTGGTTCAAAGCCCCATTTTATGCTTATTGATGACACTGTTTTAAGCTAGTTAAACTCTAATTCTCTTCCATTAAGATATTAATCCCATCTATATAAGATAATTTCACTGAAGATTAAAATAGATACTAGATGAGAGATACACACTCCAGAAATCTTTGATGCAATTATCATAGAAACAAATAGCTTTGAGAATTTCAGTTTAAACACAAAGTTAGAGCATACATAAGTCAGGAATTCTTCATTTCCAACTCTTTTTACCATACATTTTGTGATAAAACTTTAACCAAGAATTGTGGATTAAACACAGTTTTGCACCAAAATAAAACCAAGTGACTGTGTATTGTAGCTACAATATCAGTCATTTATAATTGAGTCAAATGGTGATTATTTCAGTAAAGTAACTTCCAGTATAATTTCAATCCAAACTGACCCACCTACGCTTTACCTTCTCCATTGCTATTCTCTTCGCCACAAGTCAAGGGAGACATGTGGTATGACTGAAAAATACAGTGACTATTTAAAGAAAACTTTATTACAGTAAAAGACACAAACCATTAATTCTTCTCAAAATATTCTGCATCACTTCAAATATACTTATCCCATATTCTTACCTCTTTCTCTTTTTTGGGGGGGGGTACCAGGGGATCGAACTCAGGACCTTGAGCTTACCAGGCAGGCACTTATGCCACTGAGCTATCTCCCTGGCCCCAAAATTATTTTTTTTTTTTGTTTTCTTTTTTGGTACTAGGGATCAAACTCAGGACTTAAACTTGCCTGGCAGGTGTTTATGCCACTGAGCTGTCTCCCTGGCCCCTCTTGCCACATCTGAAGCAGTTCTGACTGTGCTTTTAGTTGGACAGCCGTGGCTGTCTTGATATCCCAAATCAACTGAAAACATTTTCCTTTCATGATCATTTGCACACTGAGGTCTAGCAAAAAGTGTCATTGTGCCACAGCAATATGAATGAAGACAGGGATCTGTTTTGTGTGTGTGTGTGTGTGTGTGTGTTTTCTCAGTAAGTCTGCCTTTCCATTCGATGGAACTTGGCAGAGGTACTCACAGTATTTTTGATCATGCCTCATAAAGCTGTTTACAAAAGAGGACTTCCAGAACTTCTCCAGAAGGTGGCAAGAAGGATGGATAAATATGTTCCAAGCCAGGGAGAGTACTCTGAGGGGGATTAAAGGTAATGTGTCTTTTATTGTGATAAATTTAAAAAACTTAAACACATGCCATATTCTTTGATCACCCAGGCACCCAGGGTAGTTCATTCAAACACAGAATAGTCCGTGGATTTTGGGATTATCTGTTTTATTGGTGTAAATCAGATCACTGGCTCCTATCCCAGGCTGTGCTTCCATAAGAATATCCAATGCAATTAGTCTGAGGATGAAGCCCAGGTACTTAGTGTAGTATGTGTGTGTGTGTGTGTGTGTGTGTGTGTAAACACTTCTAAAATCAGGTATTTAATAGTTTACCAGCAAGTCTTGGTTAATGTTTCATTTGTAGAAGAATAAATTATGACTAAGATAAAGCTTATCATGGAGAACCCCTCCAAAAGTTCTGTGATTACACATCATGCCGCATAATAAAAAGTTAGCCCAAATTAAAAAATGTTTTTTGAGATTGGGAATCTCACTGTGTTACCCAGACTGGCTTCAAATGCCTAGACTTAAGCAATCCTCCGGCCTCAGTCTCCCAAGTGGTGGGACTAGAGACACACACCACCACGCCTGCCAAGTACAACACGTGTGTAAGTACACAGCCAGGAGTGCTTTACAAGAGCTCCACGCTCTCTCATTAATTGAAAATAATGACCCAGGGAATGGCCTTTTTTCCACACATAATGACAAATACGTACTTTTTACAGTGAAGTTCTGTACAGAAATAGATTTGGAAGTCATCAGAATTGTGAAGCACATACAAGAAACAGCATCGCTCTTCAAATTTAGAAATACTGAAACAAACAAAAGAGCACTATTCAGAGAAATGGCAATACTTCCATGGATTTGTAATGAAAAATAAACACTTTTATATCCAGTCCCATTATGGTATCAGGGCTGTTGATGACAACATTCTCCACACCATAAAAATAAAACTGTTTACTATTCTGGGAATTGTCCTTCTATTCATCTGTGCAGTGTAGGGCTGGTCTGAGGTGTATTAGCCTAACGTCCCTTCGATGTAGCACAGAAAGAGATCCTGTCACTGTCATACACATTGGTCTGCCATGAGGAAAAGCACAAGTTATCAACTGACTAGTTGACCTAGGTGATTCTGGACCCAGCAAACCTATAGAACCAGGCGCTATCTCCAAAGTTAAGGATGCAGTTTGTGGAGGTACCTCATTGGCAGTGAGACTTTAGAGGACAGCAGAGGTGTGGGACGGTACTCGGGTTGGATTCAGCAAGTGCTTTAGTGTAGCATAAAACAGCACTGAGCTCAGCCATGCTGCTTATGCAAAGAGTTGGCAAACATTTTGTGAAATGGGCCAGACAGCAAAACACTTTCCATTGTGCAGGCCAAACCACTCAGTTCTGCTGCTGGGGCTTAGAAACAGCTCCTGATAACAAATCAATCAATACAGCTGTGTTCTAATTAAACTTAGAAATAAGGCAGTGGGCCTCGTTTGTCCATGGACCATAATTTGCCAAATCCTATTTTTAAAAATTTATATATTTGGAGTCTCGCTATGCAGCGTGGACTTGTAGTGATCCTCCTGTCTCAGCCTTCCCAGTGCTGAGATTACAGGTGTGTGCCACCATGCCTGGACTTTGTGGCTGGCTCAGTGCACCTGGGGGCAGGGCCGGCCCTGTACCAAATCCTATTTTATACCTTTGTACCTACTGCTTGTTTGATTTGGTATGTGCATTTGGGGTGAGTGTGTGTGTGTGTGTGTGTGTGTGTGTGTGTGAGACTCTGGGGATTGGACCAAGATCCTCGTGCACATGAAGCAAGCCTGAGCAATATCCCAGTCCCTTTTAACTTCTATTTGGAGATAGCGTCTAAGTTGCCTAGGCTGTTTCAACCTAACAGGGTCTCATCTTTGCTTTCCAACTGCTGGAGCCTCAAGCCTGTGTCGCCACATTCATTTTTTTACTTTCAAAAGAAATTCTAATCATCACTTAAGGCTCTGCTAAGAGCTTGTCCCTTCTTCCTGCCTTACTTGTACCCTAAACAGAAAGACTCACTCTCGCACCTCTGTTCTCTGGCTGTGCTTCTCTCCCTCCACCTCTTACACGGTGCCATCCTTAGCTGCAGTGTCTGCTCCCCTCCCTGGCGGACTGAGTTCTGAGAGAGAGAAGCTGAGCTGGGCATGGCACTGCCTGCCGGTCATCTCAGCCACTTGGGAGGCCCAGGCAGGAGGATTCCACGTTCAAGCTCAGCTTTAGAAACTCAGTGAAACACTTTCTTAAAATTTTAAAAAGGCCTGAGGATTTAATGAAGTACAAAAGCTCTGGGTTCAGTCCTCAATGAAAGAGAGAGAGAGACAGAGACAGAGACAGAGACAGAGACAGAGAAGAGGAGAGACAGAGGGGGAGAGAGACAGGCAAAGACACACACAGAGAGAGAGAGAGAGAGAGAGAGAGAGAGAGAGAGAGAGAGAGGAAAGAGGGGAGGAGAGAGGAGAGACAGAGAGACAGAGAAGAGAGAAGAGAGGGAAAG